CTGGATTTCCCTGCCAAGGACCTCTGAACATAGGACATAGGGTGAGACGGGAGAAAGAGTTTGAGAGCTGGTGTAGGAAATCCAATTAAAGAACAGAAGCAGCAAAATTTCTGATACCTTAAGTCATATTACACATATATCAAAAAGTTGCTTTGGTAGCACTCTACCAGTGCCTTTGCTCCTTCAGTGTGTGTTACTTGCAATTTTGAAATTAGCACTCTGAAGTTTAATTGTCTTAGAAAACCTCTCTGGCCACACCTGAAACGGCAGCTACACTGAGGTTTGGTCTGTTACAGCCCAATTTATTTTAACTGCTGGAACATCCTTTCAACTTGTTTGACTATACATCAGGGGTTTTTTTGGATGGATAACAAATCTGATTTTACCATATCAAATGAAACATAGTATTTTTTTAGAATCTGTCCTCCAGATATCTGACATGAAGGATCAATATTCTTTGTTCTCCTGATGATTCAATTGCTACATAATGTATGAGTCACTGAAGATGTTCTATTAAGCTTTTATTAAGTGCCCCAAGGCCAAGCATATAGATCAGATCTTTGGAGGTTTTGGTAACCGTGTTCATGATACAAATATAGTTTAATAAAGCTTATTTTAATTGATATATTTTTCTGTAGTTATTCCCTCCAGTCATAGGCAGTTTCCTCTCAGATAGGGTCACATACTGGTATTAAAATAAAGCATTTTACCCACTACATAAATAAATTAGTAGCAACAAAGGCTACAGCCTAGCTGGAGTAAATGGTATTAGGTACAATTAAGAGTAAACAAAGCTTGTCTCTAAATTCTACAAGGCTATGTACAGTTGGATTACAGCAATTCTATTGGACAGTAACCCATTTGCCTAGTAATTGTGACTCATACAAGCACTATAACTACAGTGATTAATTTTGCTTACAGACACCGTGGTAGCTTAATTAAATGATCCATTCCAAATAATGGCAGTCATTTACATGTAGCCCTGCAGGAATTGAACTGTTACCTCAAAAGGCGTGACCCAAACAGAAAATAATGAAGGTGAATCATAAAAAATCCTTTGAAAAATCCTTTTGAAAATATAGAGAATGAAAAGAAACTAATTTTAATTTTTAAAATACCATACTATTAAGTATTTAACTGTGGTTTTGACTGATATAATGTCCTATGCAGTAAAGCAACTACTGAATCATAAAATTCAAATAAAATATGCCTGATATTCCATGGTAAAGCACCAAAAAGATGTAGCAATGCAATATCTTGCTAAATAACTCAGCTTGAAGTTAGTATATTCATAAATGTACAAGTATTACACAAGTTACCCAAACTCATCTCTACATACCTCCTTTGCATGGTGATTGCAAACTATAATGTGAACACTTCTGCCTATGAACTGTGCTACAGCTTCTTTCTCTAACATTTGGCCCTTCAGAACTCAGAGACTCTTACTTCGCAAATAAGATTTGAAATGTACTTTAATTCATCGAAATCACAGAGAGATACCTTGTTAACTCAGCTAGAAGTGATTTAGTATAATATGAAATAGATAAATCAATATTGCCAAACATTCTGCTGCTGATGACAAAATATATACTGGTAGAGAGTTTATGCCAGAAGAAGGAAAGGAAAAAGGAAAAATTCTGATGCCTCAATTGAGACTATCATTGTAAAAAATCAAAAGAAGGATCAGATTTTAGTAAATTCTTCTTTAGTGCCAAATAAATGTATCAAAAAGAAGTAAATCAGAAAGAAAAATGGCAGCTCTTTGGATAATGATGAATTCAAGTGAATGAATTAGTGGTCAATAATGTAATCTGCAGAACATACATGAGAGATACCAAATGGGTTTCTTTCTCTGATTTTTATAGTCTATGGGGTGGTAACAATGATAATTGAAAGTACAAAGGACACTACTTAAAATACTTCAATGGCTTCTTGGGAATTAAGTTCTGTTACTCTCACATCCCTTGATCATTATAAGAGGTATTTTCGAGATGACTTGTCAAGTATGAGAGGACAGGACCAGGCCTGCTGAGAATTACTGAAGTCTCATACAGTCCCAACCAGATCATTCAAGATCCTGCTTTGGGCTTATTTCTCTGGTAATATGGAGTGATTGCGACATTATTATGAGGTAGACCCAATGTAGAGGCAAGGTCATGCACTTCATGTGATCCAGCCTTCATCCATCCATAGCTTGATTCTTATGATTTATGTTGGTTAAGTAAATTTCACCTTTATATAAAACAATTTTTATTCAACTTGAATACAACCACCTGGCTAAACATGGAAAGCATCTATCAAATTTGGTGCCTTCCACTTGCAGCCTAGTATCACTGAATTGCTGTCAAAAGGCAGACCATATTAAGCTACAGTTCTGTACAAAAGTCTTGAGCTCTTGATGTACCAGGACCTTTAAAACCACTGATTGGATCATCCTCTTAAAAATATCAGATATAAAAAGGTCTAATTAGTGTATACCAATTCCATTTATTGTTTGAAAATTGCTGAATATAGGAGCTGATACTGGAGAGACAGCAGTATGGCAAACGAAGATGGAACTTTTAAAATCTGAAAAGGTATGTTTCCAATATCTGAGATATTATCAATGCCTCTGTGAGTAAACCTAATATAATTCCATGACAGCTAAACCAGACTCATTCAAGCAATTTTTAACCAGACTTTCCTCTATTACAAGATATTTTGCTTCAACAAATAGGGAAAATAGTGAGTACTGTATTTTCAGCAGAACTTTCACACATAACTAACTGTGTATGTGGAAATGTGTTTGTATTTTAAGGGTTTAAGTGTTTTTATGTTTGGTGGCTTTTTTCTCCCAACAGTTGTGTCTATTCTAATTTTCTATCTGAAGTCTCTATTTGACACTTAACTGATTTCTTTTTTTCCTCCTCTTTCAGATTACTATCTACTCAGTGAAGTGTCATAAAATACCTGTTTCAACCTAGCTCTCCTCCCCCTTTCTCTTTTAATTTTATTAATACATAATTTGGACTCAGAAATTTCCTAGAATTTTCCTTAGAATTTTCAGAAAACATATGAGTGATTAACTCCTAGTCTGAATCCATATGAGTAGTAAGAGTCACAACATCATCTAATTTCTGCCTGAGACAAACCACCATGTCATCTCATTTCCACCTGCAATAGTCTTCAGAGAAAAAAGTGGTAGTGTATATCCAGAAAGAGAAAGGAAATTACCTAAAGAAATAGATACTTAAAGTGGCATTTGCTGTTATGGCAACTGACATTTTAGGGAGATGTAAAAAATAAGTAACAGGAAACCAAGTCCACTAATTATATTAAGAAGATACTTTTGGAAATATATAGATATTGATTTTTTTGTATCCTATCACATTAATATGTTAAAATGAGATAGTGTAAGAATCAGGGAACAGGCACTAGAAAGCCTTCTATAACATTAATTGTGACATGAACTTCCACAAAGGTCACATTGTATCCTCTGGGGAAAAAAAGGTGAATATCAGAATGAACATTTCTGTAAGAACGTTATAAATAATAGATACTATACAACTACTTCTGCAACTCTTTTCTTGTTTTCCCTAGTTACAAAAGTAATACAGATCATATAAACTTCTGTGACAACAGTTTTGGCTTTTGTGATGCCATTTCTTTGATCTTATGTTAGACAAAATGTATATTATGTAGTCTCAGCCTGAATTTGGTGTTAGCAGAGTACACTGAGGAAATTTTATCTGAAACAACAGCACATTCACACATCTAAAACTAAATGAAGTTATTCCTGTTAGTCAAAGAGAATTCCTTTTATAGAGCAAACTTGCTAAGAAACATGCCTCTTGCTATAAATTAATGTCACTCAAACACAGGCACAATAAAGCCAACAGGCTTCTCACTTTTACCAGTTTTTCTATCAGTTTTCTTATTTGGACTAACTGCAACTAATTCAATAAACTGGAGATAAGAACAAAATCAAGCATAATAGGATTAACAAGTAATTCCTTATTTATGATTAAGGACTGGTATGAGTCCCCGAGTGCTCTACAAAGCTAAGCACAAAGAAAGATTTACTCTGTAACTGAAGCTATTTCAGTGAAATAAGTCTGCTGTGAATATGAGATAATGGTCACACTCTTTCTGCACCCCCATCAGAGACCAATACAGGTACTGAGTGGCAAAGTTACAAGACCTAAAGCAAAGCCAGAAGAAAACATTTCTGACAGGTCAAAAAAAAAAAAAAAAACAAAAATGCTGTCCTAGATTTTATCTGAAAAATCATTTCATATTTCCATTTTCATATGTAGAAAAAACAAATAATGTCCAATTATTTCTAATAATTTAGAAAGTATTATCTAATCGGGACAATGCTGGTGCATCATCATTTTCAAATATTGCTCACCATCACATATGGCTACAGTAGGAGTGTGGGCAGCTCATCCTTTCTAAACATGATTGGCCAAGGTCAGTGCAGAAAAATCAGAATCCACCTCTCACCAAAAATGGGAGGAGCTTTAGTCTGAAAACCACATGCATGTTTTACTGCCCTGGAAATTGTAGAAACACGTGTCCTCACTGTACAGTAGCCAAGACATTCAGAGATTCAGAAGTCCAGCAACCAGACAAAACCTACTAAAAGTATATTCATAGCTAAAAAGCCTTTGTTACATTTCCTGGATGCCAGGCAGAAGGGGAAAAAGGAAACACCTGTTTTCCAGCTTTGCCATAAGGATATCTCATTTATGTCAGGCAATTTGCCACTCAATTGTCAGCAATAATTAGAGTATGTGTGGGAATGAAATACAGAGACTGTATCACTTGAGAGAACTCAAACAACAAATTATTAGCCCTTAAAAACCCTCATGCAGGCCCAACCTCCTGTCCTCAGTTCCGCATCTCTTATCCCTGGCAGGACAGGGCTAATGAAACTGGCTCCATCAGTTTCAGAGGCTGCGTAAGACATCTGCCATTTCTTACCTTGCAAAGTGGGGAGGAGAGAGAAAAAGCAGCAAAAAATACAATTACAGAAGCCAGTATGGAGGCCTAAGATGAACACAGCAAAATGGAGTAGTGCCTCATCTTGTTGAGACTGTTGAGGTGGATTGTTGAGATGACTGAGGGTCTTTCCCTTCTCACACCCCTATGATCATCTGCTTCTGCTTCCACTGCAAAAAAATACACATTGGGTTAAGGATATACAAAAAACAACAAATCACAAATTTCATATGGGTTTGCAACATTTCCCTTGACACAGTTTAAAAATCTGAAGGTAGTGTTGTTTACCTATACTCAAATATAAGCGTACAAAATGAATAATTGCTATGAAGTCAGCAGACAACCTTCTGAGGAGCAGAGCTTTACCTTGCATCCTGTGTTTCAATTTTTAGTGTTTCTGTCTAAACAAACCAGTCTTTGTTTTCATTCCATTTGTTTCTTTGTTATTGGAAAGATTTACATTTACCTTTCCCATGGTGAAGGTCACAAAATGATGGATTAAGCATTAAAAATAATCAGAAAGCATGGCTGAAAGACAGAAAACCTATTGAAATAATGGATCCTTTTTGTGATGATGTTTGAAGATGAACACTTTATATTCACGATGAGTATTTCTTAAAAAGTAAATTCGAAGTCACATCATTACATACAAAAGAGAACATTTAAAAGAAATTTGTGGTACTTTGTCTAAGGCACAAAATATTTATTATTCCAGGCAAAACTGATTTTAAATATAAGTTTAATGTGCTTGCTAACCTTAATCTCATATCTCATTAATGCAGCTTTTTCAAAATGGAAAGACTTAGACTTTGAGAAAAGGGATACACTGTATACAAAGATGTTGGCCAGTCCACAACACTAGATACCAATTACATGGGGATGTCACATGAGACTCTGTAGATGAAATGGCTCTAACTCCAGACTTGAAATATCTGGTCAAGCAGAGATGCAGAAATATGTATTCTCACCTATTGGAAAAACTACTGATCTACCAAATGGCCCAATTCTGTTTTGTAATGTCACTTTGTTCCAGTGTTGGAATCACTTCTGCAGGCGGAGTGCTCCATGGGGGCTTTGATTTCCATATGTCATTTCAAATACTTAGATGTCTCACTTTGAATGTAATAGTGGTTATCTGAAAAAGAAAAAAAATAATCAAACATATATATTTCATGGCATTTCCAAGTTAACTTGTAAACAAGGCCTTGTTGTCTTGATCGTATTCAGCTCGAGAAAGATCTGCATATTCAATCAGTAAAGTAGAAGAAATGAATCACATTTTGAGAGAAGGCAATAGGAAAGTAGCTTAAATTTTGGGTAATTACTAAAAGGCTAGGAAGGGTCTCATTTTTCAAAAGATTGCCAATCAGTACCTTCCTTAAAAGCATCAGATTTTCAGTATGTGGAGTCATGCACATCTGTATGTAAAACAAATGCCAAATAAAATACACACTGTATTTTAACTGCACTTTTCATGCTCTGCTGGGTTGAACCAACCTTGTGGTGCAAGCATGGATGGGGACACAGGTATGATGCAATCAGGGACTTGAGCATGACAGATACACTTGAATGTCATGAATATTTCATCCATGGCAGATATCATCAGACAACAGCAGCCCCTCAGCAAGAAAACCACTTTTCAGAGGCATTCTGAAAGAAGGAAACTCTACATAACTTTTCCTACATCTCCAGGAATCACATCCCCTCTTGTGTTAGGTTTGACACTGAGACAGTTCAACTTTGTCATTCAACAGCATGCAATTATGCTGCAGGATCTCTACTTGCCATTCTCCCTCCCAGAGTGTCTCACTGTCTCCAGTGAACTCTGCCGTATTTTCCAGCAAGAACATCTTTATCTCCTTGCAGGAAAGCATCAGCCTGACTCTCTTGCAGTTGCTTCGCATATACTCAATCACAGAAACATGCAACAGCTGCACAGTAAGTTGTGAAATGACAAATCTAACAGTTCTGTTGTTCATCTTACACAGTTCCCTCTCTCTTTCACTGTCTGCTGACCATAGGTATCTAGCAAATGATCCAAATTAGGCAGTAGACTTGAAAATATTTGAAACAGTTGGTCTGGCCCTTTGAACATCACTTATTATGATGAATGTTTAAATGAGGATGGTCACAATTTGGAAAATGCAACTGAGTCACAATACACAATAGTTCTGTAAAATAACCTTACACTGCAAAGACAGAGCTGAAGAAATGAAAATCTGTCCAGGCATACAAAGAAACTGTGGGTAAGCATTTTATTTAATTTACTACTGTTTTCTTCCTGGTGGAGCCAAGGTTTATAGTATTTCTGGTGTTATTTACCAAAGTCACACAAGATACATCAGAATGTCTTCAATATACACTTTTCTGAACAGTCCTATTTCTCAGGGTCAAACTTAGGTCAAGAGGAGATAAGGCCAAAGAAAATCAAAGCTGAACCAGGAATTCTGTCATAAGAGTGACTGAGGCTAAGGTTAAATACATCTGGTTCTAGCACTGTATTTCTAATAAAAATACACAATTTTAATTTACATTAACATGTTCATAATATTTAAAGTATAGACAACTTCTGAAAAAATGTCAGAAAGCATGAAGTCTCAATTTAATGGTCATATGTTATTAGGTACAGTAATTACTAAAGGAAAGGGGAAAAGGGGAAAAGTGGCTAGAGACTTTTGTTCATTAATCATATCAAATTCACTTTCATTATTTTCCCATTTGCATTTAATATGGACCTGGAATGTCAACTGGGATGTTCAATCTGCATTTTCATTAAAGTATCAGTAAAAATTCTGAAAAAGCAATCCTGAGGCAGATAGAAGGAAAAAGTTAAATACATGCCAATTGTAGTTTCCAGATGCATGACAGATATCATAGGTTTTGGCTAAATAATTAGCAAAACAATATTTCAGATTCTCTAATTTTCAATAGGCCTATGTTTTTCTTGTTTCTGGCATTTCAATTATTAAATCAACATTAATTTAATAATTTTACCTTTGCATATTCTTCCATGTTACTGAACAAGATGCCTTTGTCATCTCTATGGCCACTGATTTTGATTTCATATGCTAGTAAAAATAGGGTTCTCCTAGTTCATTTTGTCTGAAAAACTGTAAAATTTTTAACAATGGGAGTAAAAAATAATTAAATCTCCTTTAAAATGAACATTAATAAAAGTGAAATAGAAGTGAAAATAAAAGAACTAAACAATTTTTTCAAAATATAGGCAGTGATAAAGAGGGAAATGGAAAGAGTATTATAAATACTAGGAGAGGAAATCTTTTAGAAATTAACATCCAAAATTCTTCTTCTTTGTCATAATACACTATTCCTTCTGATTTCACTATCTGACCAAGCAGCAGTTTTGTGGTCTGGAGAGAAGTGCTTTTCAAGGAAAATATCACAAAATCCTTCATAGTTAGTAAAAGGTAAGAAAAAAGAAAATAATACTAATAATGATGTAAGTTAGTAACAGAAACCCTGGTATTCATCACTACACCTCCAGCTGATTAAACAACTCATTGATTGGGTCTTTCTTCTGCATGTTGCTTCATTTAAAATCCTGAAAGGTGATCCATTCCTGTGCCTAGTTCAAAGATGAAACCTCTTATCCCTCCAGATAATGTCTATAGAAGTTCTGCTTGGATATTTTAAGGCTCTCCTGAACAGATATTAAATTTTATGGGGAATCATACCATATTTAAAAGTCCAAAAATCAGTAAAGATTTCTGTACCTAGAAGAGTGTCTCTAAAAGACTAAGCAACAAAATAAAGTTCAGTCTGCAAAATTGAAATTAGAATGAGGAAATTATAGGATCAGTTGTAAAAACTGTCCTGTGTGGCCCACACCACTGACCTACCCTTGCTATAACTTATACCAAAGATTTAAAAAAAAAAAAAATCTTTACTTTTAAAAATGGTTGCTAAGTGACAAAGATACACTAGTTTCATGTTTCATTTTTAAAGGTAAAAGGTGAAATAGCCTCAAGAAGAAAAAAAAGAATCCCTAATTGACATCAAATACCTGATCACCATACTAAGAGAAGGAGATAAACCACATCCTTATGTGGTTCACCTTAAAGAAGAGACAATAAATGTCTGTTGTACCTGAGTAAGAAATCCAGCCCATCTGTGTGGCCAAAGAACTTCCTTCTGACAGCAAGTTTAGTCAGCAAGCAAATTGCAGGTTATCTTGATTACTACAGTGTTTACCATATCTGAAGGATCACACTTGTAGCATTAATTTACTTTTCATAAACTCAGTGCTTAGTATGTAAACTTCTCGTATGGAAGTTGATATGGTATTTTTGCTTATAAAAATTATATCTCAAGGAGTAGCCCTTTAACTAAACACAAATCTTGAGGCATTCAAATGGAGCTGCCATTCGGGAGGTAGGTTGTAGGACCGCTTATAGACAGAGATAGCTAGAAAAATCTGAATTCTTCACTGGTGGCAATGGTATTGGTGTGCGGGCAGCCAGCTGAACTCCCAGCTTTACCTCAGAAGGAAGCAGAGTGGTCCCAGAGCTTGGTGGCCCTGCCTTGAACTCCTGAAACTAAAGCCCAGTCCTCCACCTTCTGAGATACACACAAAATCTGCAAATTTCAGGATTCTGCAGATTTTTCTATGTGGCTCTGAGTGCTGGCCACTCTAAACTGCAGTGGTTAAAGCTGACATACTTCAGACATGTGGCAAGTGGCTATGAAAAGATCTATTTCAATAATCCAAACAAAAAAAAAAAGAAACACATATTCTGGTACAGCAAAATGTCAGCTAGTTGATAGCCAAACCTAGGAGGACAAATTACAGTTTAACATTCATTCCAAACATTTTAAGGACCCTTAAAATGTAAGGCAAATACAATAAATAAGAAGAGCTTTAAGTACATTATTAGTAAATATACTGATATAAGGATCCAGAAAATGTGAATTTTGATTATTGAAACGTTATGTCATCTTGCATATGTCATGTGTTTACTTGTTCTAAAAAACCTGAGCTGGGAATTTTTTTTCTTTCCCCTACATCACTGTAAAAGAAAGATGTTGAATGAGGGAGGGGGAGGGTGTTTGCCCAGGGTGATTGACACACACAAAGAACTGGCTAACAGACCCACATTCCAGGCTGATAGCCCTCAGAAGACTATGGGAGGGAGTTGATGAGTCTTTTTTTCCTCTCCTTGGGAAACAGCAGTCACTCCACTTTTGCCCTGACTCAGAGAGGGTGTTTGTGCCAGGGGTTCTGTGGTTCTTTTTGTTTTTCGGCCAGGTCATCTGGCTGCTTCTGGCCCCGGTTCGCCTCCATTCTCCTGCGCCCTGTTCTGCCCCCAGCCCAGACTTGTTCAGATTTCATCGGAGAGGCTTGGCCTATCTGCCAAGGAACCTTTGGGGGAGTCCCTGCCAGAGCCAGTCACCAACAGTATTAGTCTGTGGAAAGAGCCCCTTTTTCCCCTTCCCCTTCTCTCTGGGGGGGGCGATCTCCATTTTGGCTCCTCCCGCACACCGGGCCCCACATGGTGACCACCAGTGGTCCAACAGCGCCCCCTGCTGGCCAACAAACACGGAGCAACTGCAGGCTCCGCTCCCCCAGTGATCCAACAGCGCCCCCTGCTGACCGTGGTTAGAATTGCGCCAAAAGGTGGAAAGTACTGAACTGTTTCCTTTTTGAAGGGGATTTTTGGGTACAGGATTGTTGTTTAGTTGTTTTTGTGTTCTTTTGTTGTTCTGCCAATACACATATATCCTTTATTAAGGGGCTGTTATCTTTTCTTTCTCCATACTTCCTCAATTGGACCCTCTTTATTTTGGATTTACAATTACTTAGGGAGAGGAACTTGGTCATCCTTCTTAGCAAAACACTTCAGTCTCATTAAACTGAGACAGTATATAGTAAATAAAATAAAATGGACAAGAAATAGAGTCATTGTTCTTTCTCATTCTAGGAATAGTTTACATATGAGAAGTTTCACAAACGTGCTTATCCCTTCCTTTGTTCTTAAGTCTCTATTTAACACTCTACTAATGCAGATTAGAACTAGTAGCAAATAGTACTGACACATCAGACATATGATGTAGTTTCAATTAGGATGTACGTAATGCATATTGCTGCAATTTAGCACTGTAGTTAAAGTTCTAAGAGTAGTGCAAATTCAACATAATGATAATAAAACATCAAGAAAACTTTGATGGCATTGAAATGGCATTTTTTAAAAATGACCCTATAAATGAGTCTTTAAAAAGTATATATCTGAGTTTTGAGCTTTCTGCATCTCAGTGCGCAAGATCCATTGGAAAACCATTTCTTAACATTTAAATTATTCTTTGTTAACTCGTGGTTTTGTGATCAAATTGTGTCTATTGCAAGATATTCTCTCAAGTCACTTTTATTAAAATAGCTTTTTAGAGGACTTTTGCAATTTCTGGCATCTCTTTCTTAGTAATTAAGCATACTGACCCTCCTAAATCAAGAAAAGCTTACCCTGATAGAGTTCTGTTTTGGTATTGACAGAAGAGAGGTCCAACTCTTCTGTTTCTCCAGCTTCTTCCCACCTTCATAGAATTCTCTCATCCGTGATGAAGGAATATTATGATTTTTCTTGCCTTGGCTCTGTCAAGGTAAGGAAGGAAAGTGACCTGTCTTAAAGAACTACACTGACCAATGTCCAATAACTTCTACTGACTGTAGACTTAATGCTGAATTTTAAAAATCCTGTATGTTGATTTATCATGCTTATAGTCAAGGAATAACTTAATTTCAATTTTACTGATTGCTGATCATGCTTCTCTTGAGTCATTAGGGTGCATGATATTATTTCATGTGAACTACAAACTCACTGACTGACCTTGGCTCCCCCCTCACACTGCTGCCACGGTGGCAGCCTGAGAACAGGGCACAGAGGCCCTGCAGGAGCTTGAGTCTCCTGGAGATACCAG